TCTCTCAACACACTCAAAACCAATTGCAAATGTCTAGCATGCTCCTCCTGAGTCCGTGAATAAACCAAGATGTCATCGATGAACACTACTACGAACTGGTCCAAGTATGGTCGGAACACACTGTTCATAAGCTCCATGAACACTGCCGGGGCATTAGTCAATCCGAAAGGCATGACTGAGAACTCATAATGCCCATAGCGTGTTCTAAAAGCAATCTTCGGAATGTCTTCTCTCTTAACGGAAATCTGATGGTATCCAGAACGCAGATCAATCTTCGAGAATACTGTAGCCCCTCTGAGCTGGTCGAACAGGTCGTCGATGCGAGGCAACGGGTAACGATTCTTCACTGTGGCTTTGTTCAACTGCCAGTAGCCGATGCAAAGTCTCATGGATCCATCTTTATTCCGAACAAATAACACCGGTGCTCCCCATGGGGAAACGCTAGGTCGGATGAATCCCTTTTTCAGTAGCTCTTGCAACTGAGCCTTCAACTCCTTCATCTCGGCAGGTGCTATACGATACGGTGTAGCAGATATGGGTTCCGTAGCCGGAATGAGATTGATCGAGAACTCTACCTCTCTCGGCGGAGGCAAACCAGGTAGGTCTTCGGGAAAGACATCGGGGAAGTCGCAAACCATACGAATGTCCTGCTGACGTGGTGATTCTTTTCTCATATCCTGAACGTGACACAGGAACATCTCGCACTTCTTGTGAATCAAGCGCCTCGCGCTCAAGGACGATATAAACTCGGGAGTCTTGGGGAACACCTCCCCGGAGAGTGATACGTCGCTACCGTCCTCGGCTCTCAGCCGTACGGTCCGACAACTGTAGCCGACCACTGCTCTATGCTCGGTGAGCCAATCCATACCAAGGATAATGTCAAACTCCTTGTGTGGTAGCTCTATCAAATCTGCAGAGAATTGCTTCCCTTGCACGGACAACGGACACCTATGATAAATGTGATGAAGATGCATGCTATGTCCTAGCGGATTTGATACAACGGTAGGTATCTCAAGGTCACTCCTCACAATCGCAGAATTAGCAGGCATGCCAACACAGATATAGGAGAGCGTAGAACCCGGATCGATCAAGGCATGCATAACCGAATCAAATAGTATGAACGTACCCAAGATAACATCGGGACTAGGATCTGTGCGCCCTTGCATGGCGTAGGTACGCGCTGGTGCCCGGCCTGACTGCTGCGGATGTGGTCTCTGCTGATTATTTGCTGCTGTAGACTACTGACTCCGTGCTGGATGCGATGTGGCAGGCTGATCCGGAGCTCTAGGAAAAACAGGCTCGCTGCTAGGGTTTGTCGGGCAATGCCTCCTTAAATGCCCTGGCTGACCACAACCCAAACATAAGCCTTGGGCGAGCCAACACTCGTCCGGTTGATGCCTACCACACTGTACACACTGTGGGTGGCTCCTCGTTCTGATCGAGTTGCTACCAGCAGCCGACGGAGACGGCCTCGACTTACTCCTCTTAGGCGGCGGCGCACTCGAAGAACCCTTCTCGTACCTCTTTCCCCCGAATCCAAAACTCTTCCCGCTCGGCCCGGTGCTAGCCGCGGGTCGCGGGTCTTTCGTCGCTCGATCCTCCTTCTTGGTTGCCTGCAAATCGTCCAAGCTCTTTTCCGTCTTCACAATCAAATCATACGCCGCATTAAAATCTGTCGTCGTGATCAGCGCGGCGTACGGCCTCAAGTCCGGCCGTAGCTTCTTGACGAACTCATTCAAACGATCCTCCGGAGTGGAGACCAGACTCGTCCCATACTGGGACAAGTAGTCAAACCTCTGTCTCAGTTCAGGCAGTGACATCCCCTCCTGCTAAAGCGCAACGAACTCATCGCGCCTCTCCTCGCGGTACCGGGTGGGGACGTACTCCTTCGTGAAGGCTCGATCATAGCGATCCCAGGTCCATGGCTTGGGCGTGTGTGGATCCTGGTCAATGCGCTTCCACCAATCATATGCTCCCTTCCGGAACATCTGTGACGCCAACTCTGAGCGATCAGCATCTGGGACTCTCAAATTCTTGAGTACCCAGTCCATCTGGTCAAGCCAATCCAATGCAATTTGGGGCTCCCCCAACTTGTCTCCTCGAAACTCTTCCGCTCCATTATCCTTCAACGTCTTGAAGGTAACGATGCGCAGCTGCGGCTGTGGTGGTGGCGGTGGCTGGAACATGGGCATAAGCTGCGCCATGTGCTGCATATAATGGGCCATCATGGCCGGGAACATCTGCTCGTAGGCCACCGGCGGTATCGCCAACGGTGGCATCACTGGAGGTGGTACGACTGGCGGCGGTACAGCTGGTGGCTGTCCCGCCGGCTCAGGTTGATTCTGCTGTTGCCCTCCGTCACCCGGAGGTGTGAAACTCGAACCCTCGGTGTTCTCCGTGTGCACGCTCACGTGCTCCGGCTCCGGAACGTACTGGCCGTGGGTCGATTCTTGACTCATTCTAAAATAATAAGGAAATTACCAAGTCAGATCTTAACATATAACAGATAAAGCTATAAATACTTATTACCTTCCCGGGGCAGAGGAGTTACGTGAGATGCAGATGCGGCTGAATTATTCATTGTATTTTATTTTAAAAGGGTCCAAAGACCGATTTTAAAACCAAATGCTCCGATACCAAAATGTAACACCCCAACCCGCGTAACCCAAACCCGTGAGATAGCGGACCGGTGTGCCACTGGATTGGTATCCGAATATACAACATTTTCAAACAATTTTAAACAAACGTTCTATCAATACATATAAAAATCCATCGGAGTAATTTAAAATAATGCGGAAGCCTTTTTAAAGTCAAACAACTTGGGATATTGCCCGAAAACGTAATAAGCATTAAAGTTAATTAAATAAAGCATAATCAACAGATTAAAGAGGCAGCCACGCCATCGTACATCTCCTCCTCAATGCCCTCTGGGATCGGCTCTAGGTTCATCTGTCTGATCACCTACGGACAGCAAAAAGGAAAACAACGCTATCCGCTCAGCATTGACGCTGAGTGGCACTCCATTGTAGCACAAGAATAAACATAATAATTCAACAATTGAGATCGTGCATATGTCTTTCCTTTTAATAAAAATCAATTCCACTTTACATTCGGTTCTTTAGATGGTTGACCAACAGTCAACTTATTTTCTTTCTTTTCAAAACGATTTAGGTGTTACGGGTTTCTCATTAACTCTTTTACCACCGGTCAAACCAATTTAGACTTTCACCAAAGTCAAACCACTTAACATTTAATGCCTATGACAGAGATAGCCTCAATCCGTAATACCGAAGATAGCCTCAATTCGGTGGAGGTAGGATCCCTCGGGCGATAGCCTCAAACCCAAGATCACAGACCCTCGTGTGCACGTCTTAACCTCACAATGGCCAGTTTCTATGATCGACACAATAAACCAATTGACCTTAATCACCGATTAGAATTAATTAATTAACTTAAGTAATTCATTAAAGTTTTGGATTTAACCATTTGGTCAAACCTACGTCGACAGAATATCCAGTCAAAGCTTAAGTCAAACGTGACCTAACCCAAGTCAAAGTCAAACTTGTTCAGTCAATTCACAAACCTCAACAATTCAATTCACATAATCAATTTAATTCAATTAACCAATTTAGCCAAATTATAGCATAAACACATATAACGATCCAAACCATTAAATCTATTCTAAATGCTATTAACTTCATAGTACGGACCTGGATTACGCCGAAATCGAATCGATAGCTCGAACGGAAGACAAATCAACGAAATCAAACGAACGGGTCAAATCGAGTCAAAATATGAAATCGACCAATACATCCGGCGTGGAGGTTAATCTGCCGGCGATATCAACTCGGGGCAGCGGCTGGATGCGGCGACGGTGACGGACGCCAGCGACAGTGGCGGAGCGGCAACTCGACGGCGATGAGCAGCAACTGGCGGTGCTGCAATTCGACGGCGAGGAAGGACGCCGGCAGTGGAGGCGACGTCCAGCGCTCGGCGTGGCGGTGCTGCACCCGACGGCGATGATGGCGGCGGCTCCTGGCGAAGGAAGCAGCGGTGGCGCTGGGCAGTGGAGGCGACGGACTTCCGGTGAAGGATGAAACAGCGGCACTGCACTTGACGGCGAGGAGCGGCGGCTTCCGGCGAAAGCGAAACAGCGGTGATTGGAGACCGTCGTCGGCGGCGCCGACCTTGGCTGTAGGCGACGTGCTTCCGGCGACGGTAAGGCCGCAGCTGGCTGGTGCGGCGAGGAGGCGGAGGCTTGGCGACGCTGGGCAACGATTGGCGGCTGCAAGTCGACGGCGAAGAAGAAGAAGAAGAAGAAAGAACAAGAACGGGAGAAGAAGAAGAAGAAGGACGAACGAAGAAGATAAGGTTTGTGTGGTTTAGGTTTAGGTTTATTTAATGGTCCCATTCCTAAAAGGATTGGGCTTCGGACCCAAAATACCTGATTAAATGGTCATAACATGAGCTCCGTAACTCCGATTCCCGAGCCGTCTGAACCGACGCGATCACAAAAATATTTCCTACGAGATGACATAAAAGTTGGGCTTAGAATCCAAATTATAATTTTAACCCCTTTTTAGGCCCAATTCGTAATCAATTGCTCTAACAATTTAATTAATTCTTTTGGGCCAGATTTCGGGGCGTTACAACAAAAGACTGACTCGACTACGTCTTCAATTCTTGATCTTTTCCTTGAGTCTTTTGGTCTTGTTCCATGCCATTCTTCACGCCTTGAGTTATTCAACAAAACTCTTCACATCCACGGCGGTTTGGCAATTATCAAAACCTGTCAGATATGAACACGACTTTAGTTTAACGTAATAAAAAGTGTGTTCCAACACATTAGGGAGAAAAAGGAACTCAAGGTGGCTCTTGAAACTTCTCGTGATGAAAACAAAAATTTAAAACTTAATCTTGAAAAGTTTCAAAACCAAAATGAAGAGCTTCAAAAGAAAATTGAAATTTTGATTAAAGAAAAAGACAAGGCCAAACGAGGGGCTTTGGAAATGTTTTACAATAGCTATAACTCAACAAAAGAATGGGATAACCAACCAAAACTAACGAAAGAAGGCATTGGTTATGGTGAAACCATAAATTTGATGAGTATGGCTAAAAATCATTTTNATGAACACGACTTTAGTTTAACGTAATAAAAAGTGTGTTCCAACACATTAGGGAGAAAAAGGAACTCAAGGTGGCTCTTGAAACTTCTCGTGATGAAAACAAAAATTTAAAACTTAATCTTGAAAAGTTTCAAAACCAAAATGAAGAGCTTCAAAAGAAAATTGAAATTTTGATTAAAGAAAAAGACAAGGCCAAACGAGGGGCTTTGGAAATGTTTTACAATAGCTATAACTCAACAAAAGAATGGGATAACCAACCAAAACTAACGAAAGAAGGCATTGGTTATGGTGAAACCATAAATTTGATGAGTATGGCTAAAAATCATTTTAATACCTCAAAAACTAACCCATCAAACCAAGTGTAACACCCTAATCCATCCAGGTCTACAGCCTCTTTTGGACTAAAGTATTAACTTGGAAATCATAAAAATTTAAAAACTTTTCAAACACTTTTATTTATCACAATAATATTTTTCATAACATATACAGTACAGAGTATTCAACAATATTGCGGAAGCGAATTAAAAATTGACATATCATAATTCATTTCAAAACTTGTCACATCCATCCCGACAATCTCGCCTCATCTGCCACCAGGATCACATTGTTCTTTCTGTTTACCTGCGTGTAGCAAATAAAACATACTACACGCTCAGCGGTAAAGCTGTAACACCCTAATCCGTCCAGGTCTGCAGCCCCTTTCGGACTAAAGTATTAACTTGGTAATCGTAAAATTTAAAACTTTTCAAACACTTTTATTTATCACGATGATTTTTTTCATAACATATACAGTGCGGAGTTTTCAATATTGCGGAAGCTTAACAAATCATAATTTATTTATGTTCTTTAATTCAAAACCATCACATCCATTCCGACAATCTCGCCTCCGTCTGCCTCCAGAATCACATCACATCATTCTTTCTATTAACCTGCGTGTAGCAAATAAAACATACTACACGCTCAGCGGTGAAGCTGAGTAAGCATATCTAAAGCGTCGAACATCCATATAAATTGAACCCAAATTCATAATCAAATCATTTGATATCATGCACAAAGTAATCAGTTCAAATATACAATAATCAATATTCAACATTCGTCATTCAATATTCATATTCAACATTCAACATCCTCATTCAATAATATCCTTAAACTATTCTTAGTCTAAGGCCAATCTTTTTAATGTTTACCAACTCTTAAACAAGTTCTAGTTTAAGGTACTTCTATCCAACTCTTAAACTAATTCTAGTTTTAATGTACTTTTATCCAACTCTTAAACTTATTAGAGTTTAAGGTACTTCTAACCAACTCTTAAGCTAGGTCATTAGTATAAGGTACATATTCCGATTTATTTACCAACTCTTAAACTAGCCTTCGCTTAAGGTACAAATCAAGGAAACCGAACAGTAGAATAATAACTATCGGGTTGGGTGGTATCCCCAAACGAGTTCCTCTAGTTTGGTTATGAATCCCGTACGTACATTTTAACCCAGGCCACCGAATATTCATAATTATACCCGCAAGGCCTATTTCTAAGTCATCTTAGAGGTCTTCTAGATAGTCTTAGAAACCAACGTCAACCTAGGCATATCTTAGAGTTCTTCTAGATATTCTTAGAATTCAAATCAACATTAATATGGGTATATCTTAGAGGTCTTCTAGATACCCTTAACAATATATTATTTTCACAATCATCAATATATTCATTATGATTAAATCATTCACAATTATCATTTTAATCAGAATATTTATTGAGATTTAATCATCATAATCATCAATCAATAATTATTACCATAATCATTAATCAACATAATATTCAATAACAACTAGCGGCCTAGCTTCGGGTGTTAACACCCGAACTTACCGTCATGCATCACATAACATTTTTATTTGTTAAAAATATTTCTTTTAATGTGAAAAATCATTTTTATAATGATCATAATCAATTGGTATCAAAAATAGGATTTTAGAGCTCAAAAATAACATTTTCAAACAAATTTTCGGATCAGAAATTCTGGGGATCGATCCAGCACTCTGGATCGATCCAACTAGAAGAAAAACTCCCAGAGGATCGATCCAATGAAGGGGATCGATCCACTCTGTGGATTTTTAGCCACTGTTCATTCGTCTTCAACCTCGGTCCATTTTTCGGGAAAACCATTTTTAGTCACCGAACTTCAATTAAACTATATAGAGATGTTCTCCAAGGTTCATAGATCATATTAGAATTATTAAAACATATTTTTAACATCAAATTCAAGGTTTATGATTCTTGATTCTTCGAACATGTCAAACACAAAACTCAACCAAATGACCATTTATGAACGTAGAAACGACCTATATGAACATTCTAGTCATTAGATATATCTATGGGCTTACCTCGAAGCTTAACGTAGGTTTTGGATATTTTCTGGCGAAACTTCCGGCGATGATTACTCTCAACTCCGGCGACCTCACACCAATACGACAGCACCACCACGTTCTTCTCACTCCGAGCAACAGAATAGAATGAAACTTTGTAAGAAATGGTGAAGAATGGAGGGAGTTGCGGTAGTCTTTTATAGGAGAAGGAAGAGGAATAAGACACGGTGATCTCCTGTTTTGGCGTCTCAGTGGAGCGGACGGCCTATCTTTACAATTCCAAACGCAATCCCCTAATTGGGACTAATTTGGTCCCAGTCGGGGAACTCTTTTTGGTTTAACTTTCTCCGAATTGAAATCCGTTTGCACTGTTGTGATCGTACATTTAAACTCTATCCAACGATATAATTTTTATATTTATTTGTAATACTTTTTCCGACATCATATTTTTGGGTGTTTGACTTTGACAGAGTCAAAATTGATTTAATTGACCTTTACTCAAAAAGGTTCTTACATTTCATTCATATTATTTATTCTCATGATTTATTTCAATAAATCATTTCAAAGTTCATATCATAAATAAATTTCTTAATTTATCCTTGATTTGGGTCTGTACTCAGGTTCCCAATCAAGGTCACACAGTAAGTCAACATATTGGATTAATCTCTATGAGATTTATCCGGATCATGATATTGGATATCAAAACATATTTTATTTTGGCCCAAGGCCCAACAACAATTGATTTTTAATCAAAACAAATTCGATTAATTAATTAATAATTCATTAATAATTCTAGGGTATATTTTGGGGCGTTACATTTCTCCCCCCCTTAAAAGGAATTTCATCCTCGAAATTTTTCTAGGGTTCAATGTTCAACGTTTCGTAATGATCTCACTGATCATGACCGTTTCATATTCACATGGTTATGTAATCCCAACTTTCGGTATTATTAAACTCGTTCGTTCTTCAAGAGGCTAACAATCTTAGATTAAGCAAGCTATCCAATGATCCTTTTTGCAGATTCTCGTTCAGATTTAACACTCATAACCAAGTTCCATTACAGGGTATAACATTGTATTTTGGAGCATATTTGACATATTTGCACCTCAATTCGTTCATTCACAAGTCTCGATTGTACGTCATTAATCAACAACATTCTTTCTTTGATTGAAAGTCCCTTAGCAGTATTCGTAGTTTTGAATCACAATAGATGTAGTAGGAGATTCCGAGGTTGTTTCAATCCATACGTTTTAGCGAAATCATCCAAGACATCTTCACATTATTCATATAGTTCAGAATGATTTGTAAGTAACATCAAATGGCTTTTCGTGGTCCAAGATTTTCAGGATATGGGATTTATCATACATTGTGAGGAGGTACTACTCATTGTACAATAGCTTGTCATTTATCGACCTTATACCGAAACATTTCTTCGTTTACTTCATGGTAGATCTCATTATCGTTAATGAGTCTTTGCATTAATTCGTATCCACAGGTGATAATGTTAGAGTGGCGTTTCATATACGTCTCGTCGTATTCAATTTTCTTCATCGAGTTTGGAATATATCTAGATACATTCTTGATAATGACTGGTTTGATGTAACACTATGGTTAATTTCATTTCGAGTGGGATAATATCTTCAGTACGTGATTCAATTCATGAATTCATAGAGTGGGGAATCTTTACTAGTTCTTATACCAACATCGCATATAGGTTCGGAATCTTCACTTGAATGATTCAGCTTGATCCTTGTGGGGTCACTTCTTCTCTTGTTGTTGCACATTTATTCCCTTAGTAGGGTCATAACGGAGTTTGTTTGGTCAAATGAGATCATCGATAATAATCTTCAGAGATAACGTAATCGCATCAACCATTTTGTGGTTCACAAAGAGAGGCTCAACATAATATTCCAATCATACCGTAGTTCACAGAGTGTAGTTTTCAAAGATCGGTATAGCGTATCTTGATGAATTAAGACAAGTTCCCAAGGGTTTAATATTTTGATACAACAATGGAATTCAATCTTTTCAAGATTGATCAAGCGAGATGTTTCAAGAGTCTAGTTAACACATCAAGTTTGAGTAATTCAAGGATACGAGTTATAAGATATCGAGATAGCATTTGCAAATTACCGTTACTAATAGTAGGTTTTCTTCCTTCAATGTTTCACTCTTTGGAAGTTACTCAAGAGGTCGTTGTCTTAGGAAATAGCTGTTTTGACTTTTCGTCTTGGATTTGAACGTGTTTCAGCACAGCGAATCAAACTATTCAAGAGTCTCAATACGTCATATCTTCAGCATACTATAGTATTAGCGAGTACGTTCTCGTCTGCAGGTAATTTGAATCCATTTTACTGTACGTATTTTGGCTGGTGATAATTACTTTTCCATCAATGGCCAGGTTCTAGAGACTATATATATCACGATTATGGGAAGAGTATCTCACATTCTCACATTATGGAAGGAACTTCTCGAACACTTCCTTACACCATAAGATTCGTTGGTCTTCTTGGCAGTCATTCTCTTGGTAGAAATCCAAAGTTTATGGCTACTACAGTAGATTTAGGAAGGGAATTGTTAAGACGAAGAATTAGTCTTGCTTATGGAGGAGGCAACGTTGGCCTACAAGGAGCTGTTGCTTCAACAGTCTTTACCAATGGTGGTCTCGTTAGAGGTTTCATTCCTGGGTACATAGCAACACGACGGGTCTACGGACCTACATATGGCGTAGAGCACACAGTTTCCAGCAATTACTACAAATATTTTGAGATGAATCATGC